TGAATAGTCATTGGAAGGACTGATGCTGAAGCTGAAACTCAAATACTTTGGCCACCTGATGCGAACTGACTCAATGGAAAAGACCCTGATGCTGGGAAAGACTGAAGGTAGGAGGAGAAGGGGACGACAGATGGTTGGATGGCATCACCGACTCGATGGACACGGGTTTGAACAAGTTCTGGGAGTTGGTGATGGAAAGAGAGGCCTGGCGTGCTGCAGTCTTTGGGGTCGCAAAGAATTAGACACAACTGAGAACTGAACTGAGCTAACTCACAAGAACCTACTGTATAGCACAGGGAACTCTACTCGAGATTCTGTGATAACCTATATGAGAAAAGAACGTAAAATGGAATGAATATATGTTTATCTATAACTGAACCATTCTGCTCTACACCTGAAACTAACACATTATAAATGAACTATACTCCAATAAAAATATTAAAAAACCCCAGAAATCTTATTTTAATATTTTACAATGGACTATTGCTAGCCTTAGTAAGTAAATATTTAAAAATTTTTAAAAAGCCTCTAAGTTTGTGATAATTTGTTATGAAGCAATAATACTAACAATACTAATAATACCACTAATAACATACTACTAATAAATTTAAAAAATACTAAATAAAATTAACAATACATACACATAAAATAATAATACCAATAAGCTAATGCAATTGTATTTCAGTTAAACATAAAACAGGATTTTTTTTTTGGTCTCCTCTTTTCCTGCCTTTTTCCAAAGCTTTGATCTGTTTTCCCACCATGAAGTTATTTCACTGACTATAACTAGAAAATGCCGTTTTGTCAGATTACAATCTTGTCTCATACCACTTATCAGAGTGATCTCTTCCCTTCCCCCTCACGGGTGATTTGAGATGCAGAGATGTACTCATCTTGGGTATGTTATATACATGTAGGGCTGGAGAATTAAGCCAGAAAACACAGATTTTGAGAATTAAAGCGAACAATCTGTGTTTTGAAGTTACTCAGATAGGTTTCCTTGATTCCAACTAGTTATCTTGAAACACAATAACCTTGACATCATGGCTGAAGAAAAAAAGAGAAGCAAGGTAAGCATACACGTCTGAACATTTAAATACCTTTTATCGATAAACATTTCTAGAATGCCACGCATTTGGATCCGTGCTTTTCCTGAGGAAAACCTGCAGTCTATCTTCTGCTTCCTGATACTGCAGGTGGATCCCATTACAAGGGTAGGACACACCATGGAAAGCATGCCTAAACTTTTAAAGCTACAAAACAGAAAGCTGGTCTTCATTAATTAGATGTCAGGATTATGCAGACTGACCACTGTATTATTACGCATAACATGGTGAAAAGCCCGATTATATAGTTTGTTGATAGTTCCACGTAGGTAATTTATCTAAGCCTTATTTGCTAAGATATTCTATTAACCACAAAGGCAGGATTTGGTATCAGGTAAGAAAATCACACTGTGACTTTGTGGTTGATGGCTGAAAGAATGCCTTACCAGAAAGGGAACTAAGAATGCAATATGGTGTCTTTTTAACTTTTAAAAATTTCAGGCCCCAGTACCGCTTAACCTGGTGCTATCTCACAGGCAGATGTAAGTGGAAATATTAACAAATCAGTGATTCATAACTGAGACTCACTATTAAAAACCCATATTCTCTGCCTTTATGAAAACCATGGAATTGGATTAAGAGAGAGGCCACATAATTTTAGATTTAAGCAAATGTGGACAATGAAATCTAGAATGAAGGATAAATGTGAGCACCACAAACCCTCATCTGAATACTGATTAGCTGCTTTAATAAAAAGGAAGAGTTCACATACACAAAAAGATACTCAAAGTCCATAATGTGGAAAAAAAATCTCAAGATCTGGGAATCTAGGTAAATCATGACTTTTTGCCTTTACCAATTTTACCCAAAGTCTTCCCAGGTGCTAAAGGCAGCACTAAAGAAAAGCTATTACAAAACTATTATGTTAGGCCATTATCATCTTTGCCTCAATCTCTTATACCTGTGTCTATGCCAGCTATATAATTATGATGAGGGAAAACACTCCGAGCTCAAAAGAAGTGAACAACTTCAGTTTCTGCTCACACGGACCTTGTCAAGTAGCCAGTGACTTGTCCTTTCATTGTGAGTGACTAATATCAATGCTGGCTCTAAAGAAAGACACTTTTCATAATCGTCCAACAATCTGCTAAGTGAAAACATATGGATGGGCTTAGGCGAAGCCTGCCAGGGGTCTTTGTTGAATGGAAAACAGGTGCTTCCATTCTGTGCCACGTAATACCCCATTTACCCCCAAGTCCAAAGGTTACAGGACTAATAGCTGCCTGGTGGTAATCAACGAAAGCCAAGACACTAGCCCTGGTGAAACATCTGGGACATATTTTACATACTTGCAACATATGCTTCAGGTTCAATTAAAGTGAGGCTTTGGCACATTTATTAATCTTTTTTACTTTTATCCTATAAGAGGACCCACTGACCTGACTCCACTATTATACCATATGAAAAAACAGAGAAATAATGAGAGTGAGAGGTCAGTACCTGCTCGTATGGCAAAAAAACACATTTGTTTTCTCATGAAACTCCATTACACATGGCTCTATACACAAACTTTAAATAGAGGAACCAATGAATTTTTCAAAGTAGGAAATTACTCTTCTCCTGCTCAGACACTCTGATAGCCAAGACTTACAACATTTACCACTGCGAGAGTCAGCCGAGATACAGAAGCTGGTAAATAGAAACTTGAAGTATCCTTTCATATTTTCATTTATCAGTAAAAACTTTATATTTCCAGAATATAAGATTTCCACTCTAAGATTCTTCCCTCTATTATTGAAGTCCCTAAAAGTTTATTGTAAATTATTACATTTGAGATTTTCTTTTTGTTCAGATATGGTTTTTATATTATCAATTGTGTTATGAGTGAATAAAAGCAAAACCCTCTTATATATCACTCAGATAAAGGGGTGCATTTATGAAAATCAGCTCACAATCCTTTCATAGACAGAAAACACCACTGCTTTTTGGCATCCTATGCAGAATAGAGGTGAATTCATAGAGTTATTTAAGCACTCACTTTAGTAAACTTTAGTAAACCAGGTCTGAAAATGTGTTAGAACTAAGGTGTCAATTTCAGACAATCAAACACCGCATAACAATAGATGCCACTCCAGAGATTTGAATTGTCTTCCACCATCGCACCTTCTACTTGACATCTATGTTTTGGTAAGCTGGTTAACCAGGTACGCTACTGGTTTTCCACAAACATCTTCTCTATTAAAAAAATGACCACAAAGGGAGATTAGTGTATAGGATATCAACAAAATGGCTAAAAAAATATAGGTCGACTTCAAGCAGGGCCACTGAAGTGCCAGACTTCACTAAGGGTTCCCATTTATGAACATTTCTTGGGAGACACTTGCTGCTAGGATGGATCTTTATGGTGGCTTTAATAATAAAGCAGCAACAAGCAAGGGAAAAAATGCCCATAAATGGATGGCAGCTCAGTGTTTATCAGCAGAGGAATGATGATTCAGAGCTGGCTGCTGAGTTAAAATACAAGCTCTCTACAGCTCCACAACTGACCTTAACAATAAATCATATCATTTATTGCCAGGAGTGTATGCTCATGTTATTCAACATTAGAAAGAAGCACATATGTGTTTTTGCAGAAAGGAGATTTTTGTTAATGCTTGATGATGTTGCTAATGACTAAATGATATCCAGAAGAAACATTTCACATAAAAGTGCTATCAATTTTAAAATGTTTGAAATAGCAGTAGAAGGTAGAAAGAATGCATTTGGAGAAAGAAGGTACATGTGTGTGCTTGTGTATGTGTGTCTGTTCCTATTTTCCTTCTAGCATTGAATATTAGTCAGGAAAAAAATCATTCAGGAAGTTAACTAATCACTGTGAATTTTTGTTGCTGTTGTTGACATTTCCAATGCTTGCTTCCAGCACACAAATTCTTACACTGGGATATAAGTGTACATCTCTACTGGAATCCAAGTTCAAGGGCATAAATTAAGACACACTGTTTTTCTTCTTCCTTCGAAAAATTTCAGTGCTTCACTAGAACAGAAGTCAGATAGATTCAGTGTAGGTCAAAAATCAGGCTTTACATGCTGAACAATGTGGTCAAAATGAGTGCTCATTCTCACTCCTCCTCCCAATCTCACCCTAAGACTTTTTAGGTCTTAGATGCAGAAATGCCCAAAGGTGATGCTATAAACCATCAGCAATAGTCTCCTTGACATAGAAAGCTGTCCTCCTGACTCCACGTACTGCTGCAGCGGGGCAAGATCATTCTGGTTTCTCCCTCTACTTGTCCCCTCTCCCTAGGGGACAACCAATTCAAGCTGTCCCAGAAACCAGCTGTTATTTACTGTGGTCACCATCCGCAAGCCAGCCAACAATCGACACGCAAGCCTCTCTGCACAGACTTTCCAGACCAAGGAACCGTAGGGCTGTTTCCAAGTCTGGACCAGGGCAGTGAGCACTGGGATTATTTAAATGCCCTCCAGAGCCCTATGTACACATGTGTTCTTTTGCTGAGCAATTCTTGGAAAATTACAGATGACGATATCCAAGTTTAACGCACACAGCCTGCTATTTTTTCACTTCTCTCTTCCCCCAAAGTGTAGCCTGATTTGTAATACTTGAGACAGGACAAATTTTTGCCCTTCAAAAACAGTTGTCACTGCCGTTATCTTCGTGAGAGCTATCAAGTTCCAGACAAGCTGAATTATTATTATTATTATTTTTTGTTCCTGGAAGAAAAATATTTGACCCAGCTCTGGACAAAAGCGAAGACGATTTATAGCCCTCTCTGCCTCTTTGCAACATGCAGTGGCATTGTTAGGATGATAAACAGCACTGTCCAATTTTCTGGACTCAAAACACTTCAACTCCTTTTTTAACTGTCTGTGAAAACAGTGTCATGTCTACATTTCCCCATCCCCAGGTACCCAAGTGCCGGGAAAGATAATTACCTTGTCATCTTTGTCATCTTCTTCTTCCTCGTCCTCTAGCATGTCCTCCACTACCTGCAGACAGAAACAGAAGTCGTTCTCATGCTTTTTAAGAGAGGCAATTTTGTTCTGTCATTTTGAACCTTTTGGAAATGAAAACTTTATTAACATTTGAAACAGAGGCGCTGAGAGGGAATATTTGATCTAGAGGCAGGGATTAGGAAAATGCTATGCATTTAATTGATGAACGCCACGGACCTGAGTCCCCGGTCAGGGGAACCCTATTTGTGTGAAATGTTCTGTGACGACTTAAAGAATTGGAACTATGCGTAAGGTAAACCAACACTAATTTGAAGGATGCTTTAAATCAGGAGATTTCTTTTCTTTTTTTTTCCCACCTACTTCACTGTCTATATTAATTAAGCCCTTTAAATTTGGAGCTAGATAACTAAGCAGACTACAGCTCTGCTATTTCTAATTTACTTGTCACCAAACCCTAAGATAAAAAATTGTCAGTTCATTGATTCATGCTAGTGATCTATGGCATAAAACTAACAATATCTTTCATGGCTCCAATTTGAATTCTGAATAAATGTCAACTCTTGACTATGTGCGAATTACCTGTTACTTTTGTGGATTACCTGCAACTCTAATGTTCATTCTCTGTGATTTTACACATGGATTATGTTATGAGAATGGACATTACTATTGAAAGAAAATAAGAAATGCATTCAATAATGAAGTGTGTATAACACATATATATAGCCCATAAGGACAGATATGCATACATATATTTTTTAATGGCTCCTGGTTTATCTACTTCAGCAGAATGAAATAGTCATTTTGGATTTGCCAAATAATTTCCCCTTGCTTAGATCAATATATAACTGTAGGCATTACAAATGAGTCTTCACCCCATTCCAGGTGTTTTATTATGTTTTTATATACACACACTTCATGGAAACAAAAAATTTTACAACTTTGAGGGGAGTTATTGTTCAGCTATGTGCCAACTTATGATTGCATTTATGCCATTTAATATAACTTTTAATTCTTGTGGTGCTTTTATATTTTTATCCAGTATCTTTCTCTCTGAATAAATTCAACAAAATCATGATCATCAAATGTTTTTAAACCTTTCTCCAAAACTCATAACTTCAGAAGACAGAGGTAGCTAACTCTTCTTTCATGTGGCTTTATAACAGACACAAGAATATGCTATGAATGAAAATTTCAATAACAAAGACTTATTAAACAGAGTTACATAGACTGAAGTAACATATCAGGACCCTTAGTTATTCTGATAATTTTTCTCAAATATTTTAAAAGCACGCACTGATTTAAAAGAAGAGCCCAAACACAAACTTCTAGTTCTCATGAACTAAGATATAACAAAAAGCATTTGACAAACTGGGAAATTGTTCCTAATTTACTGTCATACTTCAAATTTTCTATTAAATGGCCTTTCCTTTGGACATTCAGCATTTCAAAAGAACCAGAGTAACACAATGTGCTGTTTCCAGTATCGGGTGAGAGTTTACACTTATTTTGGTAACATCTAAAGCAATTCAACCTCAGCAAGAATGAAGGACTCTTGACATTCTAACTATACTCAGTCACTCCATAAGCATTTATTACAAATGCCCTTGTCCAAGGCATATGGTACTAGTGATTGTGGAAATACAAAGATGGATAACACAGATACTTCATTTCAGCCCTCAAGAGGCTTATAATCCAACAGAATTTAAATGGGGGATATCAGATAGCCTTTCATGTTTCCTTTTAATTTCCTGAAAATTTGAAGCATGAATATCGTACACACATAGGTAACAACAGTGACAATGTATAACTGAGGTGCTGTATGCCAGGCTCTTCCAAACTGGACCCTTTGTGAGGGAGGCTGATACGGGAAAAGAAGTCACGGTATTATCAGTACATTATGTTGCATCAAAAGAATCCACCAAACACCAAGTAGCTACACTAGAATTCAAACTCAGGTTGTGGGATAGCACAGCCAGCTCTTAAACTCTGCCTAGTTCAAAAACCAAAAAAAAAAAAAAAGGATGGGGGAGGAAAAGGAAAAACAAGAGAAGGACTGATCTAACCCTTCCATGATCTTTTTAATGATTATAAATTTGTAACTCTAATAAAATGATGTTTCAAATTTTAGGTTTATATTAAGTAATTTTAAAAGGTTGGTCATTACCTATTTTTTTAAAAAACTATATATATTGAGGTATACAATATGATTATTTGATATAGATCAGATTAAGTAATTTTTCCCTAAAATTACCCATATAGTCATATATGAAATATGAAATTAATGTACTTTTATTCTTGTACATTAAAAATCAAACAATATTTTAGATGGTTATTTTTAAGACTATTATATGTCCTTCCTCTTCAGTAATTATCATATCATACTACAGATGTCAGGAAGGCAAAAAGGTGTCGGATTGTGCCTAGCAGTTAGTAATAAGTGTTCAAGAAATATTTGTTGATAGACTGAACAGAGAAATACATAATCTATGCTTCATATCTTTGAACAGCTGGTTGAAGGTCTATCATTAATTTCACAGAATTCAACTAGCTCACCTGCAAAGACGTCTAATCAAAGATGGAGATTAATAAAAGCAAATATTCAAAGTGTTTTCAAAGATTTGCCAGGCAAAAGAAAGCATGGATATTTAACTATTATTTCAAGATTTGGAGTTCTCCAATATCTTCTTCTTTTAATTTTCCAAAATTAAAAATATTATTGAACCAGGAAACAAACCAAGAATTTAATTTACACATTTCACAAGTCAGCTGCAGATCTTACGTTCAAGAACACCTCAAAAGAGGTCTACAGAATCAGACTCTTCATTTTCAAAACCCAAACAGTTCTCACCCAGCACAAGTGGGTAATTGGCTACGCACGATTGCTCCATAAATGTGCGGCCAGAACCACACAACACAATCATTTGCTTTTACATTTGGCAGCAAAGTGCTGCATTCAAGAGAGGCTGTTGTGTTGTGTTGCAGCCCCCAAGTGAGGGCTTTTCCCCTCCTCCAGTTATTTTTTAATGTTACAACATAAACATCTACAAGTGAGGATGTATAATACAGATGGTTCCTAGGGATGCCTTTAAGCAGCTTCAGAATGTATACCACTATTACATTTTGCTCAGATGATGCTTATTTAAGGTACCTTGGAAAATGGAGATGATCATAGCACCTACCACACCGTGTTGATTAGGTATCCAATGAGATAATGCATTAATATTTAAAAGTGCTCAGCACAATACCTGTACCAAAGTACTTAAAAAATGTGTATGACTAATAACAACAGAAAAGACATCCATTTAATAATATTTAAACATTAATTTTTGGAAATTAAATGATGCATTTATTTTCCTGGACAAAATAGTCAGGGTTCTGAATGACACACGCAATTCTGATTCATATTTCCCTGACACTAAGACTTCCCTGGTAGCTCAGACAGTAAAGCGTCTGTCTACACAATGTGGGAGAACTGGGTTCAGTCCCTGGGTTGGGAAGATTCCCTGGAGAAGGTAATGGCAACCCACTCCAGTACTCTTGCCTAGAAAATCCCATGGACAGAGGAACCTGGTGTCCATGGGATCACAAAGAGTTGGACACGACTGAGCGACTTCACTTTCACTTTTTAAGAAATACATAAAGGGGCACAGGTAGAGCTGTGGATAAAGATTCCCAATTAAACAACAATGGTTTCACAACTAACTTTCAGGTTTTAAAAGTCCAATGAAACAGATGACTTTGACGGCAAGTATCTCAGGAGGTAGGCTGTGCTCTGAGACAAGAGCCTTGACCAAATGCAATGAATACAGAAATTGCAAACCGAGCTCTTAAAAATAAATGGTATATATCACTAAAGTGCATTTAATGATTGCACAAAATTGAAAACTTTCCCAGAGAACTCAAGTAACACCTAGTATTTAGAAAGAGAGGGCTGGAGTTTAACACTTAACTAAGGAAAACAAATAAAATAAAGAAGTTCCGGTCTCAAATTCCAGTTCTTTCCTCTGCAAATAAAACCAAATAAGGACTACATAGTTTTGTTTTCATGTATACAAATTCCAGTTGCCCAAAGAGTTGTCAGCAATAATTTAATAGCAACATATCTGTGGGATTTTGAGAAAAAAAATGAAGAGTGACAAAAAATGCATGCGTTAGAAAAGATACATTTTTGCAAAGTTGGGTTTTTCCTCTTTTCTTGAGGCAGGCTATCTCAGATTGGCTCTAGACTTCTTTTTCCAAATTATGCTTTCTGATACCTTGCTTGAAAGCAAGTAGTATTAATCAAACAAAGGAAGGGCACTAGGGAAATCAGAAAGATGTAATGCAAGCAGTTAAAAGTGACATGACCTTCTGTAATGTCGCTCGTCACAGACTTATACGCCAGACAGTGGAGGAAGGTCCTGAAAGAAACTGATTCTTGGTACTATTCCTTGAATGTAATACTAATAAAGATGACATTTTAAAAAACATATGTAGACAGGCGCAAATGCAGCATTCTAGCTACCTTACAGCCAAAGGATAAGCAGATTACACTATTTTTAAAAGCATAATATTTCTTCTTTCATAGTCCATATTTGCTGAACATTTGTCATTAACATATAACACATAATATGTGGCTGTTTATGCTAAAAAATCCATTTTCAAAATGGAGCAACACTGCATCTGTGGAACCTATATATTTTATACAGTTGTATAGATGCTCTATTAATGTTACTACTTTTAATGATAATTTGACACAACTAAATGCTTTATGATTTGCAAGGAAATAAAATTTTATTTGGCTGAAGATGTTAAAAATGATGCTGGTAATCTGAATAAAGGTATGATAACATGTTTAGAATTATTCCACTAGACAAAGATATATAAGGGAGGGGGGACTAGTAAGAAAAAAGAAAAATAACAAAACAGTGGAAGGATGAGGGAAAGTAGATTCAGGTAAAGTTCATTATTAAAATCATCACAAGGCAGTGGCTCCTAAGTCCTGCTTTTTAATACTAATTCAGGGTACATGGTATAAAGCTAAAATAATTTTA